GGAGTCACATTTCACACAAAATTATTACAACTGGAAATAACGTGAAATGTTTTTCAAACAAAGGTCGCAGCAACTTTGGTGAAATTCATTTTTATGATTATGCTTATATCATCAACATTTTGTGAAGTTGAGGAAAATCGACAATGGCGGTGATGGATGACTCAGCAGTTCTTGGATTCAGCTTCATTGGTTAATGAAGTCAAACTCTCGTTTCATACGAAGTGTAATTATTAACAACTCCTTGTCGGCATCCCACTTAGCGGAACCCGTTTTACTGTCCACAGGATGTGGAAGATGAAGGCCAAGTTTGCTGTGAAATTAAAAAAAAATTGAAATCACAGTGAACAAGAAGGAATGATTCCATATTTTGGAATGAAAATGTGAGTCTGTACACAATGTGTGTAAAATACAATTGTTTGTTTACATGAAATTAGAACACATGCTGCATGACAACCACTGTCCTTTAAATAAAAATAAAAATAACAAATATCATCAATAAATCATAACACAAATAATATTTTGGATATGGGTATTCTTAGCCTACAGTTGTTATAAATTGAAGCAAGGATTCCTGTCTTTAATAAACTCCCCCTAGGGCCATAAACTACTGGGGTATTTTTTTTACTGTAAAACTACTAAAATGGGTATTTCTTGCGTAAAAATAGTAGCACAATATGCCATGAAAAATTCTCATTTAATGAAAAACGACTGAACTGTACATGTATAAATATTCTATGCTGTATTGGAAACTGAACATTGCGATGATCAAAAAACAATCATAGCAGCCTAATGTGTTACCCTCAATCAATAAGGAGCAACCCAGAATGCAATATTTCAGTTGACAAGTAATAGCGTTATGATTACAGCATTCTCAATGTCAATAGGTTGCAGTCTGTGAATAAGGTAGGCAATCATGTACTTTGCATGACAGACTGTTAACAAGCACATTCTTTCTTAGTACATTCGATATATTGTGTTACCGATCCCAACAAACCAAGCAATGTATAAATGAAAAGCAAGTTGGACTTTTTTACATTAGGTTTTGCAAGTACCGGTATGCAACTATTTTTTTTACGATTTTGTTCACATTGTTAGTTTTATTTTCAACATAGGAGTAATCTTTTCTACAAACAATTTATTGTTGACATTGACTGTGACATGATCAGTGATTCACATGACAGACTATTTACAAGTTGGCCATTGTCTAAGTCTTAAAAAAACAACTAGGATAAGTGTCATAAAACAACTGGAGGGGCATAAATCATATATTTAGGAAATGATTCTCAGCATGTCAGTGACTCTGAGCAGCTTGGCAACCCTTGTTAGTAATCTGACATCATACCGCATGTATTTCACACATTTAGAGATGTTCAATATGTCGCACAGTTTACACCACGAGATGGTGATAAATTCATGCAGTATTACATGTTACTGGGTAAAATGGATGTGAATAATGCATCCTATTTAGTAATTAACTCAGTAATCGAGCATCTCAACCTGGCTGCTAAACATAGTGCCATACTATTACATGGGGAAAACACTGAACATAATTAAAACCAATCAGTAATTTCATTTTTTCTTTGTATTGTCATTTAATAGAAACATGACACACACAATTGCAGCCAATCTGTAGACTGAGCCCCTATAATTGACTTGTTTATATGCACACATATGAAACGATAAAAAAATACATTTGTAACCATTTACCTAGATATTATACTCTCTACCTTTCCTAAGATACACGATGACTGCAATAACTATAACATTTGTATCTCACATAAGAGAATTCAGGCTGTGATAATATTAATGTACTTACAATTTAGGAGACCTGATATCTAAAAACTTGTCTGTAACATTGAGGTCCACATCAGATTTCTTTGTATTTGGTAGATTGATTTTCACCTGTATCAAATAATATAAATAAATTCATTCCCTGATTTAAGTATGACTATACAAACCATAATTACCAGTGATGAGATACAGACGGTAGAAGATATGCGCACACTAAAGGATAGTCATTATGCATTCGATAACATGCAGTTTTTATCGCATGCTGCATATAGCAGTGTGTCACATGTTTTCCAGATGGCGGTTTAAAGTTCCAGTTCTCACGTCATGTCATGCTCGATATGGGCCTAAATGCATGTAAAAAACATTGTTTGATTATAAGAGTGGCAAGCACTGTATTGTGACTTTGGTGATTTAACGTTCTCAAAACTGTTGTCCATCACACTTGATGCAACATGTCAGGGTATAGGGCCAGCATTAAACTGGCAGAGTCAAGACTTCTTTTTTGTTTTAAAACAAAAAATATTGTCAATTTAGTCTTTTAGTGTGATCGCGAAAACTAGCGTGACTGCGAAAGAAATCCTGACTGGACCCCCTGCATAATCACTCCGGTGATTATGCTAATGAAAAGTTGTTGACTAGCACAGACAACAAATCAGAGTGCAGCTGTACACAGCATATTTATCTATGTTAATAAACATGACCTTTCACTTCTGAGGTCCCGGCGATTTTGAAAGACTACTTATATACATCAGACATTTAAATCAATTTGTTTTTGGTGATCATTCCTTTCGCGGTCATGTTAGTTTTTGTGATCCCGCTAAAATGACAATTAATTATTTTATTTTGTAAACAAGAAAGAAGTCCTGACTTTGCCAGTCTAAGCCAACATATATAACATGAGATGCAATACATACTCTCACTGCACAACATCATACAAACTTT